TTTACTTTTAATATATTTCATCATTTTTTCACACGTACAAAAGTTAGATATACAGGTCATTATTAGCATGCAAACTTTAAAAATAACATTCTTATTTTTTCGCATTTTCTATCCTATCTTAAAACACATCAAAAGGCACATTTTCTATTCTGTAAAATAATTTATTTTCTTTTCAACTACAAATTCACTGAATGTGAACTTATTCATCTTTGACAGAAATGTTTACTTGTATGCCTTTTATCATTGCTTTTCCTCTTTTCTTGTTCAGTGAGGGTAGCAGCTGGGAGAAGACATGCCTTCCTAGTCTTTCTTGATTTCTTTCTCGTAGCCTAGACGAGAAAATACAGAAGTAACTCAGAGGTCATGAACTCGTTCACATCAAGGAAACAAACCACTATTTGCAATAATTGCCTAATATTATTGACGACTAAAAAAAAAAAAAAAAAAAAAAAAAAACATTTTTCTTAAAAACACTTAGCGTGTAAAAAAAGCCAGATTTCTGGGATTTGGCATTTTGACTTTCATGAATTAAGAAAAGAGATGTATGGGCAGTCCAATTTAGAAAATTCCATTACTTTTCAAAGAGCTTATGAGCTATTGCAGTTTTTCCAAAACTTTTCAAAACCTGGAAAAGGCCCAGTCAATTTTCCAGGATTTTTCAAGGTTTCCAGGACCTGTATGAACTTTTTAATAGTTTTAAAATCAACAAAGTTTTTCCAGAAAACAAGGTTTTAAAAATAGAAGTTTGTCCACAAAACGAAACTTCCTGTACATGTGATAAAAACAAAAATTTTCTTAAATTGCCGAACTGGTTTGCCAATGTGAAAAATTTAAGACTTTAATAGCTTTAGAATTGAAGCATCTTGAAATTTCACTGCATTTTTTTTGCGTTTTACTAAATCGAACTTCAGATATTCATAGCACCAAGGATATCGCATGTATAGATTTACAACTTGGTAAAAATAGTTAACATTTTACTGTAGATTATAAAAAGTATAAATTGCTTGGGCATGTCTTATGCACATTTATTTTTATAACCCTTGAAAATGGTCAAAATACCAAAAACCTGTCCAATTTGACACCTTTTTTTATTTATAAAAATTTCAAATACAGCATCCAGATGAGTTTTCCTGTCATTTATGACCTAATATAGATTGTTTCTATGTTGTAACCATATTCAGTCCAGTTATTGGAATGTCAGTATTACTGTTTGAAAAAGTTTTGTTTTGTGAACAAACTTATTTTTAAAACATTTTTCTAGAACAACTTGTCATATTAAAATCATGTTGATTGTTGATTTTAAAATAATTAAAAGATGCAGATCTAATATTTGGTATTAATAAATTTTATCAAGAAAGACCTGTGAATATTCCCAGATTTTTCTGAGAGGGCCACCTGTGGCTGATTTGAGATGAAATGACCTTCTTTGGTCTTGTGTTACAATTTTGTAAATATCAACAATTGCATAGATTGCAGATCAGCTTGTCAATATGTTGATCCTATTACCAATTATTTAAAAACTGGATACCACCTCTTGGCAAGCTTATTAACTTTTAATATTACTTTATATTTCTGTGAATATTGAGATCAGCATTTCTCAACCTTTTACTATTGTCAATATCTTATATTTACAGAGATCAGACTTTTTTCAATAAAAATTTACTAAGTAAAAATATGAAATTAATCTAAAATTTGACAATGTTTGCAATGCTTGGTTCTATAGGAAAATATAGGAGATTTATGTATTTTTTTTTTGAATAGATAATCAAGAATCCAGACAAAGTTAAGATGTGAAAAGTGGCAGAAATTTATCAGACTCCAGTTTTTTAAAGTAAATTTTTCAAACTGCCATGTTTAGATATTTCTGAAACAGTAGATGTTAGAAATGAAGTGGAAAAAAGAAAAACTATAAAAAGATGAAGAGGAAATAGCCTCTTCACTGCCTATAACTAGGCCTCTGCATCACTTATTTTTAAAATCAGCAGGTGGGCAGGGAAAAACACTAGTAAACTATTTGATCACAATTTAAAAAAAAAAAAAAAAAAAGAAAAAGAAAAAAGAAAAAAAAAGTTGCTTTCCCCCCACTCAACATTCAACAAATATTTGACAAATTTATTTTAACTTCCAAATTTTTTGAAACTTGTGAGTTGAGAAGCAAAGCTTGAGATGATATTCAACCTCTGACTATAAATATTCTCTTATAAAAAGGTTAGGCAAGTCTGCTTATTTATAATATCTGCTATACCATCCTCAATATCAGTGTAGACTGGGTACAATTTATCTTTAGTCAGAATTTTGGGTTCCAAGTAAAAATCAAACATTCACATGCAACGTTTGCTGTAACCAACAATATGCCAGTAAAATAAACAGTAACAACCTTTCAGTACAAAAACACATAGTCATTGTAAGAGGAATGGTGCATATTTTCTTTTAACCAGTTGGCTCGATATCAAGATTAAAATTAGACATTTAGAAAGTAGGCAAATTTTCTTTACCTGATATCTATTACAAGCAATTGTGTGCTTATATTTGAAAGTGTGGATTTTATTTATAACAACTAAAAACTATATTCATGCTTGCGTACTTTTGCTTCCAGACCTCTTCTATTTAGTCTGAAAGATTGAATTATTCTGAAAAATGTTTGATGACTTTTAGAATTTGGCAAACGACTCCATTAAGGAAAGAGATTAAAAGACCCAGTATTAACCATAGGCAAACAGTTTTCACCACACATTGAAAGGTATCATATGAGGTTGAGAATGTAGGAGGGAGGAGGGGGTATTAGAACTACTATGCTGCTTAAGTCATCTGTGAATAATCATAATCTCATTATAGAGTAATGCTTTGCATTTCCAGGACACTTAGACGAAAAAATTAAAATCCCTGGTTTGAATATAATGAAATTATATATATATATATTTTACAAGCTTGTAAAATAGAAAAAAAAAAAAAATAAATGAAAACTATGAAACACTTCTAAGAACAAAATTCTCTGACATAATTTGGATATGCTGCATAGATGACAGTGATATTTATAAAGATTCTAAGAATCCATATCTCTTAAAAATGTTAAGAAATCTAATCTTACCTGTATCCATTTTTTTTTTATTTAATAACAGGGTGGAATTAATTTACCAAGTACACATAAAGACTACGACTCATAAAAATGCTAAAATAAATGGAAAATATATTTACCATCAGCTAGGTAATTATGACAGTGTAATGGTTAGCAAGTTTGTCTCACTAGATCAGTTATAACTGAGAAGTAAATTTGTTCATCACTAGATCAATTACAACTGGGTGCTTCATACTTGTGGCCTTGTGTCACATCTGAGCTCTGCTTAATAAATCATTATTTACAATCAACTAACCAGGCTTAATCCTATTTATGCCATATAGTTACTCATCCATTTAAGTGACTGTCACATATCTTTGTAGGACCAAATTAGCCTCTCCATCAGCTTAGAATCCTACGAATATCCGCAAAATTACACACCACACCATCAACATTCTGGGAATATCTGTTTGTAATCTTTCCACTACTCCATTGCAATATATCACAATTTTGCAGGATTTTCCTGTACCTCATTCCTAATGGAACCCAATGCCTATAATACTAATCTTTGACAGAGTTCTATGCCTGTCCTAATCTAGGTGACACACTGTATCAAAATACTACCTGAAATAGTAAAATATATCACCTTTCAGCCATAGCTTTGATTATTTAGTGTTGTTTCTACAATTCCATAATTGCGTGGTCTATTATCCATCAGCACCTCAAGAATCAGGTCCCTAGTACAAAAACGTTCAGTATAAAAGTACATTTATATTTTGTTCAGTCATATACAAAAATTAAATAGTAATAATTGTTTTTTAAATTGGTAAATATTCTACTATCAAGTAACTTGAATATTTCTAACTGACCTCACAAAGTGGAAGTATTGACTTGAAGTGTGCTAGTAAAGTTTTATAAATTTATTAAATACTATACAGTGAATTGATCATCATAAAATTATTCTTTGACGTACCATGTTGTACACGTGTTAATATAAATACAAAATTAAAAACAGTTATCTACTGAAGAATGATGGAATTAAAAAAAAATCTTATTAAGTTATTTTGTATTTAATACATTCTTTTATCTCTAAATATTTTGAATTATTGTAATACTGGGTAACCAACTGAGACAGTAAAGAATATACCATTGTGTAGATATTCATTCATAAAGATAAATAGTTTAGTCACTAATACTTTTTAACAAGAGTGAGGGAAAATGTGAATGCAACACCAACCAATAAAAAAAAAAAAAAAAAAAAGTTGACGTTCTACAAGACAACACTTTTGAGCAATGACCATTTCTATTTTTGACCAAATTTTTGGGAGTCTATATGCATGGTACAATGTAAGACTGCCATGAAATTGAAGAATTATATACTATTCCACAAGGGTGGAAATCTCAAGTGAAACCAGCAGAAACTTTATATATTAAAAGAGAAAAGGTATTTGCAAGCAAGCAAAATAATACTGAGATTATTTTCTCCCTAATAAATAGAACTCTTTTTAGTATATTAGGAAAAAGGGAAAATAAGAATTAAAACTGGTAGAAGTTTAAACCTTGTTGCATTGAATCTCATAAAAAAAATATGAAGGACTTATTTTGATTAACCATATTACTTAGAATGATTACTTGACTACTTATGTAAGAAAAAAAAAAAACAAAAAAAAAAACTTGATTATTTACACCTGATTTGTTTAGATAATGCACTGACTACTGATTGCATTACATGGCAATAATTGTAATTTAAATGGTGCACTAAAATAAAATAACCAAGTAATCATTTTAAGTTTTGAATATAAGTACAAAAAAAAAAAACAACACATTTACATAAACAGGTAAAAGAGGCCTATTCTATGATTGTGATAACTGGTAAATAGTAGCATCACAGAATTGGCAAGTAGAAACAACATTTAAAACAGAACATGCTAAATAGTGAACTTACCTTTCCAAATGATCCTTGTCCTAAAACTTTTAATAAGTCAAAATATGATTGGTCAACTTTTTCCCCTTCTTTTTGTACATTTGTAATATTAACTTCTCTAACAGAGTCATCATTCTGAAAAATAAACATAACATTCAATCATAATTTTCCTATCTCCATTGTTGGAAAGAAAAAAAAGAAAAAGTTTATCTTAACATACTGCCTGTTGTGAATTGTGAAATTGGAAAATAGGATAATAAATCACATGAGTATCAAAAAAGATATGCCAAGATCATAAAATTAAAAAACAATTGCTGAAATATCAAATTAAAATCTACAAGGTTTATTGCAATAAAAGTGGGTAAAAATACATTAAAGTAATTAAATCTGAACAATGTTTATCTTCAACAACATTCCTGAATATGTGAATGAATCTATAATTTTCAAAATGAAATTGAGAAAGGACTAGAAAAAAAAGAAAAATTCTAGCTTCATAGCAATGTATAATTAAATCATTTTATTTAGTAGAGTTTACAAATTAAAGAAGAGACTTGGTGATTAATATAGACAGAATTCCCAGTAATATTATAAGTTAGAGGAAAGTATTTTCTATAGTGTAAATAATTACATTTTATGTCAAGAGTTATTCAGATTATACCAATCTATAAATATCATTAATATGTTTTTTTCTCCTTTTTTAATAGGACAACACATTCTTTACAACCTCTTTACTAGAATTAGTCCTTCCCAAGTGGATGGCAAAAAGATTCATTTGTAACATCTTATGCTAATTCAGAAGAGTATATAAAAGTGAAAGTTGGTTCCTGAAAGGACTCTGGGATCTTAAGCTATATTTAAATGGTGAAGTAGAAAAGTTCAGTATAACAAATCATATATAGATTGTTTTTTTGGCATGAGGTCCAAGAACATTGATAGAGAAGGTAAGAAAAGTAGTACTCATCATGAACATAAGGGACAAATGTTTAAGTTAGTGTATTTTCGACATCATGTGATTTTCTTTTCTTAGCAGGAAAATAATCTAAGAGCATTTAGAAGAAAAATTAAAACAAAAAAAAAAACTTCTACATTGCTGACATTGAGTTAAGCTAAACCAGAATTTTGATCATCATTTGTTTGCCACCATTTTATAGAAAGAAATAGACATTTCTTCTCCCATGGATTATACACCTGAAGACATAAGTAGAATCAATCAATTTGTGTGTGTGTGTATATATGTGTATAAAGAAAAGATCAATAGACCAAACAATTTAACTATTCAAAACAACTCCAATTCTTTCTTATTGCTTTCTTAAATCCACCAAAGTTACTTCCTATTTATTAATTTTATATTACAATTTTGCAAATATGCGACAAATATACTTAAATTAGTCAAATTCCAACTTCATTTAAAATTTAAAGATACTTTACTCATACACCTAACTTCTAATCAATAGGAATCTATAAATTTTTTTAACAAATGTTTAAAATTTAGAAAAATTGATTTCTATAATTGTGTGGAAATGTTCCAGATGTAAGAGGCATAGAAAAAGAAAGGAAAAGATTAATTTTTGCATAATGGTAACAAAGAAATATTGTTATAAAACAAATACTAAGATATTTATATTAATCAAGGAAACATTTTACAACATAAAGGTATCATTATTTACTATCTTTATTTTATGCAGTAATTTATGATCATTTTTTTATCCTCTTTCAATGTGAATAGAATGTTTTTTCTTTTTAGTTTTTGTAATAAACATTGAAAACAAAAAATGAATAATGGATTTTTATCAGGTAACCACAAATGTAGACATCACATTTATTAAGTTGCAAATTGATCTGGAAATTGTTTTATTCAAATCAAAACACTTAGTATTGTCCTAACAAAAATTTCATTATGATGTGCTATTTTTGCTGTGTTACAGTATCAAACTAACATAGCCACAAACAAATCTTATATCAATGGAGCTTGGATATATATTGCAATACACTTAATTATCCTCTACTAAAAAATTTCAGTTTTGAAATATATAACTCATCAAATCATTGGTTTAGACAATTTTCTTCACAATTTATGCTATTTCTATGCTTTTAAAATCTAGTAAGAGCACATGGTATTGGTAGATTGGATTAATAATAATAAAACGAATGAGATAGCTTAGAGTTTAGGCAGGTCTTCTGTGACTTATAACCACCATTGTCTAAGTAGAATGAATATATACTTTTCATAACCCTGTAGTATGGCCAGACACTACAGTAAAACCAATTGCGTGGGCGTTTTGGAGGGAGAGAGAGAAAAAAAAATGTATTTTTCTTTTTTATAAGTTGCATAAATGAATGGCAGAACAGTCTGAGTCATGAAGAAAGAGAGAGACAGAAAGGTGAGAAATAATAACAAAAAACTATTGCTGCTTTATTCACAATTCTGTCAGAAGAATAAAAGATGAGGAATCATGCAGGAGTTATTTTTGACAGGGCTATAGCAATACTCAAGAGAATAAATGGAATCAATACCTGGATAATGTTTCAATACAATACACAGTAAGTGAATCAATATCCATGTATTGTCAAACTTCACAGAAGAATCAATAAATAGGATATTGTTTCAAAAGAAATTAAAATAAAATTTACATGCTTAATATATAATGACAAAAATTACAATGAAATGATGACAAAAATTAGAACAAAAATAATGCTGGTTGACGATTTCTATGAAGGACCCAGCATTTAGCCCAGTCATCAGGTTCATCTAATCTTTTTCTATAGTCATCAGTAAAAATTACTGTTGAGAAAGTTTTCTTTCTGAGGTTTACTAAAACATGGTAGTTTGGCTAAAAATATGATTTACCAACTGTTTCAAATAATTACTTGTTAATCAATCCACTTTTCTTGCTTATTGCCTCATAGCTTTTTTCACCTCTTTTTGTAACATTCTTAAACCCAATTTTTTCTTGTTCTTATCTTGCCAATATATTCAATTTCTTTCATGGTTGTTCAATTTTATGATTTCCAATGTTGTATTCCCATTGCTTAATACAGTACAATATTTTATTAAGTTTATATCTTTATCTAAAATTAATATATATCAATAACTATACTTTGCATACATATGATGTCAGCTTCCTTGTTCATCAGTATAGTCATCACTTAAGTACTTTATAATTGATTTCATCTGTGGGAAGCATGGATGTGACTTTTCAGGCTAGCAAGGGCCTCCACTCTTTGACACAAGTGTTACAAGATTGCCTCCAGCAGCAAGAGCTACTTGTTGGGAAGATAAGGCATTGTTTACCAGCATATCACCCTTATGGGTTATTTAATGCTGAATTAGGTAGTTTTTACTTCAAGTAATTTTTAATCCTTTTTATTTCATTCTTAACTACTTTATAGACAGATGTTTTGGGATGTGAATATTTTGTATTGATAAACAAGTATTTTGTGGAACTTTGTGTGTGTTGTAGCTACAAGAGTTTAAGAAAACCTATTTCTCTCACAAAGCTTAGTAACAGAGAAACAGGTACTTTTTAAAATAGTATCTCGAAGTTTGGTATATTATAGTATTTATTATGCATATATTTTCCTTTGTATATTGTGCTTTTTTTGTCCCTTAAATTTAGTTTTTTTTTTTTTAAACTTCTACAAGTAAGGTGCCATCTTTTGCTTTTGTTACATTTTTGGATGTTAGGTTCGAGGATATGAACTTTTCTATTAAGAAAAGAAATTCCTTAGTGGAATATTTCTTGTTGATTCAAGAACCATGAATTTCAAAAAGGAATATTTTTTTAATTTCATTGTAAGAATCAGATTCTGTATGCATTCTCTTGCTTGATTTGTTATAGGACATACGTATTAGGTTAGATTTTATCATCCATGCTCCCCAGAGTCAAATAATTGGTGATATCAAGGGGAAAACCCATTTGCCTAGACTAACAGGGCTACAAGGATGATATACTTCTTTAAATAGTTCTGCTTCCCAATTATAGTTGAAATTTCTGTGGCATAGTCATGTTGAAGTTTTGTAATTTTAAACTGACTGACCCTCTGCCTCTACTCTCTAACATAAATGAATAGCTCTTGTTGATTATGATGGGAAATTAATTGATAAAGCTATTAGTGGGTATAGTGTAGTTGTATCAGTCAGATGTGTTAGGGGCAAGCTAATTGATCGGATAGACATCTGTGTCACGGACTGTTCAGCCACCAGGAATCCATATCACAGGTCCCATGGCCAACAGGTGACCTCTTGGGGATGCAGTCAGTGTATTCTGGACCCCAACTGACAGGGTTGGCTAAGTGTTGATCACCATCTATTCTTGTGTCATGTCAAACCTCCAGCTGATCAGCAAACACACACATTAACAATCCTTGAGTTGCATAATAAAATCTCACATTACCATTTCTAATAAAAATAACTGATAAAATGCCACATGAATAATATAAATATATCTAGGAAATTTTAGCAACAGTAGTTGGTTAATACTAATTTTACTGTTAAAACATTGACTCCAATAATAAAATCTGACTAGGTAGAATACAAATTTAAGAGTAAGAAATTACTCAGATTTTCTAAAGAAAAAATTTTAAAGTTTTGCTTAGTCATTTATTTATGCAAAACCTCATCGGTTTGGTGGTTGACAGACCATGAATTTTCAGGAAATAGAAAATAAGTATAAATAAATACCAATCTAATCCCATGAGTTTAAAACTACCAAGAATGGAGAGTTAAATTACACAAGTTTTGTATTACAGAATAAAATTTTTTATTGTGCTTTCAAAGTTGTAAAGACTACTAAGACAAGGTTTAATTTAAACAAAAGAAAAGTCATGATCTCAACTCTCTCTGATCACTAAACTTTAGAGTGCCTATAAAATGATTAAAATTGCCATGTTATTTAAATGTGTTTATGCAAGAGCTCAAATTAGAAGGGGCAAGATGAAGTTATTCTTTGGTGAAGGGGAAAGAGAGCAAGAGAGAATTAGAATAGCTCAATAACAGGTTATCACCTATGATTCTAATAATCTTTTATTTTGTGTCCCTATGAGTGACTATGGCTCTCCATAACTTACTGTCTTTTATTGCTTCAACTTTTGGCTCTTTACTCTCCCTCTTTTGTCCCGGTTTTGTTATCTATTCA